TGCTTTTGTCTTGAAGTCGTGGTATGCTGAACTGATGGATGACAGAACACTCCTTGAAGCTGACACAGAGGAAGTCATGCATACAGTTCCCACATACATGACAGACACACAGTGTGTGTTAGTCTCTACGACCTGTGAAGATGTGCAAGGCCACTTGCCGGAGCGGGGTCACCCGCCAGGATACGACATGGACACTTCTTACTACGTTCCTTTATGCTCCACGGATCCGGATAGCAAATATGATCTGGACTCCGATGAGCACGGGAAGTACATCGAGCTCTGCTTCACTGCAGACATGTCCAAAGTCGTCCTGTCCGAGCAGCAACACCGATTGTTGGATGACAGCAGCGTCACAACTATGCGAGTATACGTTAGTGCTGCCTCCAAACGTGCCGTGGTCGTCAAGGAAGACGATCTACTCACGAAGGCCGACATCCAAGCAAATCCGGTCAAAGTTTCCAAAGCCCTCTACACAGAATTGAAGACTTGGCTTGACAACAAATGCTTCCAGATGACTGACTTAAGCAAGGCGTCTAACATCATGACGTCACGCTACGTATACAAATGGAAGTTTGTCAAGAACGAAAAGGGCGAAATGGAAAGGACGATCAGGTTACGCTTGGTACTCCGTGGCTTCATGGACCTTGAAGCCTTTGATGTCGAAACCTTCTCTGGCACGGCAAGGAGGTCAAGCCAGAGACTGCTCGCAAGTTCTGCTGCATGCAACAAAGCTTGGATCATCGCTTCCCTGGACATCAACATGGCTTTCTTGAAGGGACTGACCTATGGCGAGCTCGCCGCGGCAACGGGCGAGAAAGAGCGTGTGGCGTGCTTCACACTACCACCTGGGTCAGCAGCTGTCCTTCGCACACTGCCAGGCTTTGAGTCATATGACGAATCAAAGCATTGTCTCCGGTGTCTGAAACCGGGGACGGGCACGAAGGATGCTCCCAGGGCATTCTCGCTGAAGCTCAGGTCCATCACTAGGAGCTTTGGGCTACAGCCTACTTCATACGACGAAGAGTTCGAGATGAGCCCAAACCTCTTGACAGCCAAGCACGTTGATGACATCAATATGACTGGGAAGGAAGAGGCTATTGACAAGTATGTCAAGTGTGTTGAAGATACGTTTGGGAAGTGCAAACTGAACAAGCACACATACACAAACTGTGCCGTTCGGTACAACAAGACCGATGATGGGAGCGTCACTCTTGATCAGGACGAATACATCAAACAGCTTCGTCCTATCACACATCCAGAACTCACAGGAGCTGATCCTGAGAGCAAAGCGACAAAGACGATTTCTGACATGTTCGTCAGTCTTCGTGGCGCTCTAGCCTATGCGTTGATCACGCAGGTATGGCTGATGGTCTATGTTGTCTCACTACAACGTATCCAGGAACCGACAAACATCCAGGTACGACGACTAAACGCGGTTACCAGAAAGCTACAGGCAGGTCCGAAGAAGATCGTGTATCAAGCTATGACCCCAACAGGAGAAGTCGACCTGCATAGCGATTCTGGCTATCGTCGTCTCAACGGAGATGAAGACGACGAAGTCAAAGGCTATGGTATCCGCGGGGCTAACCTGCTGAGGCGTGGCCACACGCAAGCGGGGAAACCCGTCGTGCACCTGGTGGACGCATACTGCAAGTCTCATCGACTGCAGGTGCGTTCGAGCTACTCTGCGGAAACACTGGCAGCAGCCCACAACTTGGAAGACTGCTACCCGACCATTGTAACGCTCCACGAGCTACACTCGGGACCATTGACCCCCACACAGTTAAAGAACATATTGGAAATGGGTGGTCTATGTATCAAAGTCACTCTGACTATTGATGCCGAGTCTGTCTTCAAGTCTTTGTCTAGCAAAGATCTGAAGAAGCCCACAGAATGTACTCTGCTTGGGCACATCAGCTGGATCCGCCAGATGATGGAACGCGGAATCGTGGAAAGCGTCCAATGGTGTGACACGCGGGATATGACTGCCGATGGTCATACCAAAGGTAGTATTGACCGCGCGTTACTCCTACAAGTAATGGCCGGCCAGCAATCCTTCAAGCACGAGCTGAAGAAACATACACCGTATAGGGCGGGCAGGTCGTCTGAGGACGGCCCTGCCTCCCGAGCCAGCGGGGAAACCCGCGGGCAGGTGCGCTTTAGTAGCGAGGAAACTCGCCGGTAGCGAGGCTACTCGCGCGCCCCTTCCTTGTAGGCAGCCGCTGCTGCTTAGCACTGTTTTTCCGCATAGTGTAGAAGTGCGGTACCTGCTCGTCTCCTCCCCCTCCGACTTTAAACGGAGAAGGTTAAAGGCGAGGTATAAATCGAGCATGTACCGCTGCCGTGCCTGGCTCAAGCCGGGCCCGGCCAGATATATGACTGTGCCTCACTGAGGCGCACGACTTGCATCAGAGATCGGAAAATACCTTTTCCATTGACGATGCCCATCCTATCCTTTACTCCAGATCCCATGCTTCGTCTCGCTCTCTTGCTCATGCGA